ACTACGCAGCAGAAAGCTAGGTCACTTCGAGGTAACATCAGGGCTCATGAGGCTCACTAGTGTATGCAATGTAGGACCCAACTCCATGCCCAGAGGAAGTCCATTGTCCGACGCCGAGAGGCGCGAGATTCTCGTGCTTCAGCGCGAGCAGAAGACGATCAGCTACATCGCGACCCAGCTCAATCGCTCCCGTGGATGTATTCGCGGCTTCTTACTCTCCCCGGACACCTACGGCACTGCTCGCTCGCCCGGCCGCCCATCTCGACTGAGTGCGACCCTCCACCGCCGACTTATTCGGTCGGCTCGCACGGGCAAGTACACCGCGGCGGAGCTCGTCGAACGGAATGCCCTTCCCATCGGCCCTCGCCGTGTCTGTCAGCTACTCAACTCGAGCTGCAAGCTGAAGTTCAAGAAGCGACCTGCGGCGCCCATGATGACACCTGCCCGCAAAAAGGCCCGTGTGGCAAAAGCAAAGGTGTGACTGGAAGCACGACAACAAGTTCTTGTTTCAACAAGACAAGGCTTCCATCCACACGGCGTCCTCGACTGATGTTTCTTCAAACGCGCAACGTACACGTGACGTGGAGCCCTATGAGCACAACAAGCCAACAGCCCATGGCAACAATGCTCGTCGTGTGCGAGGTCACAATTGCAGAGGCAGCGGCAATAGCCCTTGTTGCCCAATTGCACGCGGACGGCGCCATGGTCCGTGTGGAACGATGGAAACCCCATGTCGCCGTGCGCCCAGAGAACTGTGACGGGATTGGCGGTCGTAAGAACGTCATCGGTCGCAGTCGTGGCAGCCAGGGTCCGCTGAAACGTGAACGAGACATGGTCCTGTGTCACGAGCTCGACCGTCTCGAAGCATGGGGACCGCGAGGCCCAATCCAGAAGACGGACGAGAACATTATCGTCCATGTCGCAGCTGGCCAAATGAAGCAAACGAAGGCGTGGTGTCGGCGTTTTTTGCAGGGCCGGCACGTCGCGTAGCTTGCACTGATGGAACGTCAGCTCTTCCAGAGCACTCAACTGCGGCAGTAGCATCAAGGCAAACGTGCAGCTGGCGTCATAATTGGACGCCAGCTCGAGGACGCGAAGACGTGAGTGATGAATTCGGTGCGTCACAAAGTTTCGAAGGATATCCTACCGAGCCGACTGCAGACGGAGCTCGGTGATGCTGGGTAGGGGCACGTTTGCGTCGACAAGTCCTTGGACGACGCCAGGCGAGTCGTTTAGTTTGAGGCTCGTGAGCGACGTCGTGGCGGCGATGTTATGACCCATTTCCACGTCGTCGTCGCACGTAAAGTTATCGAGATGGAGGTGCGTCGCGTGGCCAGACGCGAGCCACGTGGAAAGGACCGGTCGCCAGTGTTCGCTACGAAACAAGCAGAGCGACAAAAAGACAATGCGTTGGACATGCGGCACTGCTTGCACAGCAGCATTCAAAAATGTTGCGTTCGACTCGTCGGCGATGCAGTCGATGCGACGGAGCCCCGTGCAGCGTCGAAGGATTCGGCGCATCTCGTCCACGCCTCGCCCTTCTTCACACACATCGATGGACTCGATTTTGTATCCCCACTTGGCGACGAAATTGGCCGTTGCGGGAAGAGACCATGTACCATACTCGATGGGGACGTCAAGCAACATGGCATTGAGCCTCTCAATGTTCTTGATGCGAATCGAGCGAAAGAGTGGGAGCGCCGCAAGCACGGTAGAGGTGTAGCGGCGATCGATCTCTTCCACGCAAACCTGCGGCCAGTGCTTGGCGTCCAAGGCATCGGGTGTCGCCAAGAGCGTCCAGAGCGCAGCGAGCGGCGCATCGAGCGAAGCGGGTGGGAGCGCCTGAAGCAGCGATAAGACGTCTTTGGTCGAGTCCAAGCAGTGCATGATATCGACAAGGACGTTGCTTTGCACGACCGCCATCGGCACCACGCACGCCCGCTTGCTCAACCGCTGCTGGTCCATGGAGAGGTCGAAATCAAGTGAGCTATAACGAGAAAACGTCGAATGCTGCATGCTGATTGGCTACAATACGGGGGTTTTGGCGCTAACGCAACGAGCGCGGTCGCCAAGGCAGCAGGGACATGGAGCGCATTGCGTAAACGCTCACAAGGACGACTAGAGAGAAATGTTTTGTTGCATTATGCCCAATTTAAGCAGAAAACTACACCAAAGCACCTTGCGTCGAATGGTTTCGGAAGTGATAGCGGGCAGTCGCAAGAGCAGGCAGCTCATTGAGCGAGGATGGTAGTCATTCACGGCTGAAGCGCTCTACGCCGACGATGCAGCCGCGCTGGTGCCGCGCAGCAACACCATACCAGTGCAGTCTTGGCTTCAAGACGAGCTCTGGACGCTGGCGCCAACGGTCTACATCGTGCTCATTGCATACCTGTGCTTTCTCAGAGAAGTTTGAGGAGGAGCCTGAACACAGATCATACGTATCGAGGCTGATCTTGCCGCGGCGCTACAGTTCTTCGGCCTACCGTAAGCATCTCGGTACTGGAACGTTGGCGAAAACGTGGCGTATGCTCTCCTGGCGATCTACGCGAAGCGGTTGTCCCGCTGGTCATGGACCATAAGCGGCGCCAGAGCTTGGGCCGCGCTGGGTTGGACGATAAGCAGATGATATCGCTCTGTGTGGCGGCGCCTTCGGCTGTGCGCTCGACGGCCTTATTGCCGAGCTTGGTGTGGCAGGCATGTCTCGGGACGCGGGAAGTGAGGGCAGGGTTGTCGCTACAGCACTGCGACTTGCCAGCGCGCGAGAGGTCGTCGTCTTTGTGTTCTTATCGTTCCTATCATGGGCGCAAGTCAAAACCATCCACCATCATCAGCCAAATTAGAAACGAGTCGATGGCGGCTCCGACCTCAAACGTGGGAATCTGCTTTGACTTGAAGTTTGTATGTAATTGAAAATCGCTTTAGGGAGATTGTGGATCCAGGATACCCTCAATAGTTCCGAACTCAAAGCAACAAGGCCGCCGACGTCATCGTCGCCGTCCGCTACCAACCTTGATGCAGCATTCAAACGCAGCGTCCACATTCCACACCCTCCAAGCACATAAGGTACAGAACACTACAGTTCTCATCACGAACACAACAGTTCGACACCGAGACATCCAATTCGCACTACGATGTGCCAAGCCGCGGGTGCTTGGGTGACGGTTCGTCCTCATCAATGGCTGCCGCATGGATCGCGAGAATGTCGTCAAGCATTGCAATGCGCTTGGCGTCGTCCTTGAGCTGCTTGATGCGCTGAAGATATTCATCGAGATCATCGACCGTCGCACGACCCGGTTGCGCGAGCTTGCGCACGACATAGTGATCGGCCAGTGCGTAGCCGCCCATAAAGCCGCCACCAAAGAGGCCGTCGTCAAAGTCGTCAAAGTCGTCGTAGGGGTCGCCGTACACGTCTCCGTCCCGCTCGTCCAGCTCCAGCGCAAGCTGTGCAGCGTGGTCATCCACGACCGCTTCCACTCGCTCGCAAATGCTGTGCGCTTCATAGTCGTATTCGGTGCACAGTCCGTCTTGCAGGAAGCGGGCGAGCCGACTGCACTGCTCGCAATGCCTCGCGTCCACAGCCACGTCGGCCACGACAAAGTCGTTGCCAAAGTCGGGCACCGGCGCGAGCGCATTACCGTCAAGAAACCGTGTCAGACACGCTGTCGCTAGCTGCGCCACAAGGTCGAGGTCTCGGTCTTGGAATCGCGTGCGCAGCAGCTCGACCACAGGATAGAGCACAGAGCGTGTCGCGTCCAGTGTCGAGGACTGCGCCGCGAGCCACCCTGTGAGGAACGATGGCACTTTGCTCGGTGCCGCCAACGTGAGCACTTCGATACCATCGACGATGGCTTTGCTGTCTCGCGCCGTGCGCTGGGCGCCACTCCTGTTGAAGAACGATGCTGCAATCGACACGACAGACTCGGCGACCAGCGATTGGGCCGACGGTGCGACCGGCGACGTTGGGTGCTTGAGAAACTGCAAGATACCGGCGACGATGCTGCGGTTGGAACTGAGCTTACGACACGCGTCCAGTAGGCATGGGGTGCATTGGCCCAAGGACTCCATCGCGTCTATAATGGCACCCACTTTGGTCGACGAGATCGAGTGATGGACATCGTCGGACGTGCTTCGAATCTCGTTGATCGCGACCGACAAAACATCCAGGTACCGCCGCCGAGGCAGTGTTGGTTGGCGTGCAATGGCTCGGACAAGGCCTTGTGGTACATGCTGGAGCAGCCACGACGCCGACGTGTGCACACCCGAGAGCACCGAGCCGAACGGACGCTTGTAAAGGTAGCTGTCGACGATGAGCGTGAGCGCAGGCGGTAGGCGGGTGCCGAGCCAGTTGCCATACGCGAGCGGCGGCGCAATCTCGTCAAGGTACCAGTCGAGTAGAATCCAGTGCTCGGCGGGGTACGATCCTCGGTCCAAAGTCAGGACCGATGGTACGATCCGATCCCAGCTCATTTTTATGAACTCGCACACATACGGCTGCTGTAGCGGACGGCACACGGCGTCGTCGCCATTCGTGGCACCCGCGAGGCTCAGAAGAAGACGAGTACTATCACGCATCGGGCGCACACGTAGCCATCGACGTAGAAGGCTCTGGACGGTTGAAAAGAGCGGTGACCAGCCGTACGATCCGAGACACGCATGGACACAAGTCGCCATGTCCTGGATCGAGATCGTGCGCGCAATCGAGACAGCGTTGGAAAGGAAAATCGCTGCGAGGTCGAGATGACGGCGCTGTAGCAAGAGGTTCGTCATTGCGTGCATGCCGCGTGCTGTCATGGTGGCATGGGACGACGGTCCAGTGCCGAGAAACGTTGCGAGAATGCCGCAAAGAAGCTCCCGAGCACTCAGCCCGAGGCGCTCCGAATCCTCTGTAGCAGTCTGCGCAAGTGCAAGAGCAGCGAGGCGTCCGACAAGACCTGCGCGGTACGGCTTGAGCCAAAACACAATCGCATGGGGCGACGACGAGCCGTGGACGGCGCCAAGCAGCGAATCGATGCGTTTCCAGAAAGACAGGACACGACGTCGGCTGGGACAGCACATGCGTGGTGCGTCATTGCCGTCGAAATGGTGTGACCGCCAAGTTGAACGAGCGCGACGTCAAAGTGCCGTGTCGCGATCAAGGCGTCGACCAACGCCGCGTCTATGGGCGCAAGGCACTCGAATGACAAGGTGTCCAATTTACACTCGAGACGGACCCCTAGGCGTTGCAGCGCCGATGGCGGGTGCGCGGCGATCGCTGCAAAAGCGGCGACAGCGTCGTCGTGTGCTGGCAGCGGCGGAATGACGCGTGCATCAACGTCCGTCGCCACCAAGGCGTACACGAGCGCGACGCGACGGCCAGCTCGGATCGGCGACGATGTGATGGTTGCATCGAGGCGCGTCGCGAGCACTTGCACTGTCTTTTGAGACGGACGCTGCATCGTCAAGCCGCCGCCATACGCCATCGCGATCGCGCCGCCATTGACGGAGGACGGCAGCGACACCAGGAGCATCCCAAACACGTTGGCAATGTCCGGTCGCGGCTTGAGGCACGCTGACGAGCCATGCGTGTCGATGCACAGATGCGAAAAGACGGCGACGACGCCCGTGTCGGTGACGCGCAGCGACTTCTGGATGTCGGGCAAAAGGCTCGTTCGCACGAGCGTCGCCCACGCATCTTCGTTGATGATGCGAACCTTGGACGTCGGAAGAATGCAGTAGTGGGCGTGGCGCGTCCAGAGCTGCTGTTCTTGGTGCATGGCCATCGGCCAGGACAGGCACCCGTCGACGCCGTCGATGGCCAGCTGCGGCTGCAGGTGCCATGCAACCGTGCTCTGGTAGGCGTAGGCCGTCGACTCGCGCAGCAGGTCTAGAGCGGCATCGTAGGCCGCCATCGTCGGGTTGGTCGTCCGTAGCGCGCTCATGGCCGGCGTTGGAGCTCGGCGCAGGAAGTCTGCCGATGGGACGTGCGCGCAGAATCCAGGTATTGGATTGGTTGAAAACTCGTTTTTTCGCGATGCGTGATTGGGCAGGAATAAAGATTTGAAGCTGTGAACTGTTTGATACGACGCGTGAGACTACATTTCGCACACCCATTGCATGCGTCGCTCGACCCAAGACGAACCGCAAGGTCAAGGCACGCGATAACGAAGACGAGCTCAAGGTGGCGAGCAAGGTCGTGAAGGAAGCAGACAAGGTGAAGCCGAGCGTGTGGCGTCTGCTGCAACCCGGTACGACGTGGTCGATTGTGCGCTTGTTTTGCCGCCTTTTTGCGGCCATCGACGAGAACGTCGTCGATGGATGTGACACTCGTGGGCGATTTTCGGCCAGTCCCGGCGTGCTGGAACATGCTGCTCGCAGATTCGTGCTACCCAGACATCCCTGATACTGCTGCTCGGGATCCATGGATGGGTCGGTACCTCGCCGCATCAATTGTCGTCGGACGACGACTTGACGAGAGTTGCAATCAATCAATCAATCAATCAATCAATCAATCAATCAATCAATCAATCAATCAATCAATCAAACGTGTTCGCGTTGAAATCAAAAGCAAAAACTTACTCATTACTTCGCCTACGTAGCGGTACGCCTGAATGCGTGGGAATTGGCCCCAGTCGTTGGGAGTGAGCAGCGTACGGAGCGACGATCCTCCCGATGGTGGGCCCAGAAATGGGTGGGCCCCACTCGCCAAGGGATCGCTCGTGCGAGGTCGGACAGTTACAAATCATCTTTGTTGCAATTGTTGTTGTTGAACTGAGTGTTCTCGTTATTTTACGGATTAAGGGTCCTATTTCTAGGGTCGTCCTACCTCCAACCTAATATCCGGTAGGCACGAGTTACCGGCATATGCCGTTTTCATCTTGCTTCTTCCATGTGTTCCTTGTGGCACTTGCCGAGCGTGGCCTTATTATGGTGACCGTCTTCAGTGACATTCGTGTCCGGATGGGGGGGGAGTCCGGATAGAAAAATCGGCGCATTCTTTGTTGCAATTGTTGTACTTCTATGTCTTTGTTGCAATTGTTGTACTTCTATGTCTGCGTCGGGTGAAACCAAGATGCATGTGCATCTGGCTCGACATCGCCGTCCCAGCTCGACATCCCAGGGGGGGCATGGAAACACGAGTTGTGGGTGCACCGAGCCATTGCACCAGGGGCTGCGGTTGCCTTGCTTGC